AGATTTCCTGCTCCTCTGATGCTGCTTGGTCTGCTGTGTTCATCCAGCTCTTACACCTTGTTAACTTGAATGATCTGCTGCCCTAACAGCACCGTGAGTTGTGTTACACCACATGGACTGCTGTGATTCAAGACAATAGCTTTCCACCACCTTAAGGATTGATAATAAATGCTGGACAACCTGTGATACCCATTTCCTGTGAATGAATTTAAAAAATGCTCAATGATAAATAAACCTTTTTTTTTAGCATAAGCGCCTAGCCAAATAGGTTTAATATTTAGTTCTGGTGACACCACTAAAAAGACTTAGACCAAGAGTAATCCGTAAATATACAAAGGCAAAACTCCACGTTGGGCATATTTACTTGAATATTGGAATACCACTCCAAGTATCATCACAAAGTTCACAACTGTCCGCGTTTCAGGGCGGTTGGAAGGTTTGAATTATTCTCACATCTCTACAAAGACACCAAATTGGCATTCAGAAAGTCTCTGTGTGACAGAGGATCAGATGATTAACTGACACAATCAGCCAGCAGGTTAGACCCATTGTGTCTGGGGAGGTAAATTTTGGAGGATGAATGAGAATGGGTTGGCAGGGGGACTTTGACATGAAGGTTGATGGAGCCACACCTGATTCACCTGGTCTAACCTCTCTTTAAGGAAAGGCTTTCAGTGGACTCCATAAGGATTTTGTTTAGGGCACTTCTAGCTGAATGTAAACTGGGACCTGCCATGTGTGTTTCATCCATTCTTCCTCGACAGTTGACATTGATATCCATCAACAGAACCACCAACTTTTGTATGTGAACATCTACTCACCTCTTTCAGGTAGAGTATTTACCCATTTAAAGTCAATTCAGGCTGGAAAGTAAGTGAGACTGTCCCAGTCTTTTTACCAGCCATTTGGCTATTTTAGCCAGTTAACGGTTACCGAGCATCATCCAATTATTTTATATTGCTAAAAACACTGGAACTCTTTACAAAGTCGACAGCCTCGGTCAAAGGGTTTCATCAAAATCAGCAACAATATAAGGGAAATAATGTAGATCATGTAAATGAGACAACTTTACCTTATACTGTATAAAACAGTTCCATTTTTAAAAATGCGAAGCAGTTTGTTGTCCGTTGTCACTTCATGAAAGTTGGCGCCCTTTTCATTTGCAAAGAACAAATCAGGCTTCCAGATGGAATCCAACATGGAGGGATCCAAGTCTAAGGAATCATCTGGGTACTCGCTGTAGGCCAATCGTGGATCATTCCATGTCTGTCGCAGGAAAATATTCACTCTGTAGTCCTAAATAAATATGAAATTAATTTAAAATTGTGTTCATTCATCAGGATTTTGTTGCCACTTGAAAATGAAATATTTGGAAATTCAAATTTAATTGAATGCAAAAGCCCTACGCAATCTAGGTTCCACAACAATGCAATAATTATCTTTATTACACACCCTCTTTCTTTTCTTTATGATTTTTTTGCAACACTGAACATCTGAGTACATTTTTGAATTATTCAATCTCAATAAGCGTAGTATTTTAACTAAGCTGAGAAAATGGACAACTGCTGCATTGAAGGCACCATTTGCAACACTGAACTCAAATTGATTTATTTTATCATTTTGAGACTTCAATTCAGAGCAACAGCATTATGAACAGTGAAAGTTTAATGATAGTGCTTAATGCATTAGGTGCAGCCTTGAAATGCAATGTATAAAATAATCTGATTTTATACAAATTTTAGGGGCCATTCACTCAGTGATTGTTTCTAATTTTTCACTATTGATCTGTTAAAGTATAGTTTGTTTGTGTTTGTATTGTTTGCCAATTGAGAAGGAAAGACTCCAATTTACTTACAAGCTTAGACTGAGGACCAAGTGAGGGAATGGAAATCTCAGTCGAATAATGTACTTCTACAAATACACAGTAATTTAGTTAATTGGTGGGGAATCAGGTCTTCTTAATTGGCTAGGTTTATTGGGCTTTATTTTAGATTGACCCCTTTCTTGTTTCTTCAGCGACGTTGAGTGTGTAATAATACATGTATCCCTTCAAAAATAGTTGCATCATCATGCAGTTCAATGTTGTAACGCAGTGCAATTTACAGCCATTCTTTTTAAAAGTATGTATTTTTCTAACATTTGTCTCGGTATTAATATTTCCATGTGTGAAATGAACAAAATCTTGATTCACATTTATACCATGTACAGCACTCCTACAGTTTTGTTTCCAAATGGATTATATGTAACTATTTATAAATATTAATTTATTTCTAATGTGATAGTAGTTCATAAACTAAGGTGGTTTATAAGATTTGCTCACAATAATAATTAGTGTAGTTCAAAAATTATTTGAATGCATAGACATTTTGTGGTGTTTTGTTGTTAATATACTGTAGAAATTGAATTGTTCTTAAATACGGTCATTAATGTATGGAAATTAATTAAACTATAGTTGTAAAACATAATATATTTGTGGCTTTGTGCCTGTTCTATGAACCCCAAGATGATAATTCTTTTGTTGTGATTTTATTTCTATTTGATAGCACAGTATAATGGAATTGGCTCCAAAGGTAGCAAGCTGCCACATCACTTGGCCGCTCAGAGACTGCTGTGTTAATCGGTCTTTGGCTAAACAATATCAAGCATAGATTTTTCTTCACAGTTCAGGTAAATGGGTCGCATGACTCAAGTAAACATCTTGTGCATGGTGCTTACAGAGGAAATGTTACCTTTTGATGTTAGACATCATGATTTGCTTGTCTTAATCTCAGGAGTTCTGCTAAACATTGTCAGTAAAAAGTCTGTCTTTGTTCTGCTCTCCACACAGAACACTTAGGATGAAATGATTACAAATAGGTTAAGATGTTGAGCTCGGAGATAGCAAGAACTGCAGATGCTGGAGTCAGAGTCGATACAGTGTGGAGCTGGAGGAACACAGCAGGCCAGGCAGCATCAGAGGAGCAGGAGAGTAGATGTTTCGGGTCAGTACTCTTCTTCAGGACTTGATGAAGGGTCCCGACCTGAAATGTCGACTCTCCTGCTCCTCTGATGCTGCCTGACCTGTTGTGTTCCTCCAGCTCCACACTGTATTGACTAAGATATTGAGCCCTCAAGCTTAGTGAAACTATCAATATAGACTTTATTTAAAACTCTGTTGCATTTTCAAGTATTCTTTTAAGTTATAAATATTATAAAGCCGTTGTACAGTGCTTAAAGGTCTACATTGATGACACTCAGGTTTTTATTAATTGATTCAAATTAAGAAATTAGAATGATTTTTAATTGTTTTTCTTTTTGGGTCTGAGGATGCCTTGACCCATTTAAATCATTTTATATAAATAACGAGTTTAAATACATTCCCTGATGTTTAATCATCGTTATTGAACAACTTGTAATTTTCAATCCATCATTCTAGTGCTCATGTATACTAAATGCAAATTGTACTCCCTATTATGTTCAACACAGCTAAAATCCCAATAAAACTCAAACTATTTTATTGAAATGATAATATCATGCAAATTTGGAGATGCTTTACTGTTTTTTGTATTTTTAATTAGATTTGATTAGGTTGGATTATTCAAGACAAAATAATTTTAAGGTTCATTAAATATTTGGTTTTAGTCATATCTGTAGTCTTATTGTATAATTCCTTATACACCACCAAAGCACACACACAAATTTGCTGCTTAATGCCATGCTAATAAGGATATGACTAATGCAGAGGAAGCCGACTGGTTACAGTACAAAGGTTTGACCAAGTCACTCGATCTCCATTAAACCAGTCAACATCTTTTATAATTTGTTTTTCCCTTCCATTTCCTTCCCCACACCTGTTTGCTCAAAGGAGACTACTTGTAATGAAACATTAATCCACAGACAATGTTCAGCAACCTGATACAATTTATCACATCACAGTGCAGAAAATACACAAGCCAAATATTTAAAACTAAAAAAGATTGGGTGTTGCAGCAGGTCAGACTCGAGACTTCCATCTTCACTAAACCACTCTAACAAACCCAAAATAAACATTGTTACTTTTCTATAAAAAAGTTGCAAATATAACTTGAAATTCCCTACATTAAACCCAACCCATTTAAACAGCTTTCATTGGCTATAAAGCTACTTAGTCCAATGTACTTATTTCCTCCCAACATGTGGGTCAACAGCTTAAGCTTTAACTGTTTCAGATCTAAATTGGGACAATTTAACTGGCTTTGGGGAAAGACAGCAGCTCTTTGTGGTCCAGTGATAGTGTCACTACCACTGGACTTGAAGGCCTGGGTTCAAGTTCCATCTGCTCCAGAATTGTGTAATTATATCTCAAATTAAGAAATATCAATAACTGGCTTGTGAAATTGATTAAGAACTCACAGTGGTGTAATCAGGAGACTCAGGCACAAGCTTAAACATTGGGTTATATACTTGTTTTGGGAGTCAATAGTGCTTTAGGTGGCTTCCCAAAATTAACACAAAATAAAGTGATAAAAAATACCTACTTTGAAAGAAAAAAGTATGAACTTAAAAAAATTTAAATTAGGTAAAGTTAAAGTGACTAAAATGCAGGATAGAAAATGTAGATTAGAATGGAAAAATGGCTGAGTAGAGGACAGTTGAGAAAAAAAGATTTTACTTGAATTGTAACCATTTTTTATTGACATTTAAGTACAACTGTAACATCCCTTCCTCCACCTCCTAATGCATCAAGCCTAGAATTTTCCAGAAATTTAGGTTAAATATTTACACTGAAACAAATGACAACTTTTGAGTAAGGAGAAGCAACATTGCTAGGGCAGAAAATGCCAATCTTACAATTGGAGATATTTCAAGAATACAGTGGTCCATTGAAGTTTGTGTATACACATTTCATTTGTATAACAAGCGAAATCGTAATTAATTCAGCTTGCATGGTTTGTATATGCAATGTGCATAGTTTATCTCCACTCTTACATTTGAGCATTTAACTGTACACTGAGATTTTCTTTGAACTTTAGCTTGCTCTCATTTAACACATGTTATGTTTCTGGATTATTCCATGGAGCAACATTTATCTCCATCTGCAGCAACTGAGTTCAAATTCTAAGATAGTAACAGTCCCCACTTATGTTTCACTGAACCCTTCAGAGTCAGAATTGATCCCTTAACTGACAATCAAAGCTGCCTGACCTATCTTACCAGGTGTTTATTCAAGGTATTACACTGTGGTGATAGTCTAATTCAGGATTAGATGTGTTTAATTCTGCATGTCCCATCTGCCACGTGCCAGCTGTTTTTACTGGCACATATGTGGCGTGAACACATTTTAGAAAGAGATCCAACTTCAAGTAAGAACAAACAAAAACAAAGACATTGAGTTATCACTCAAAGGATTAGCAGATCTCATTAATAAGCAAATAAATTATTTGGTACGTTAACATATTTTTTCTTATTCATTCATGGGATGAGGGCATCGCTGACCAGGCAGCATTTATTGCCCATTCCCAATTGCCCAGAAGGCAGTTGAGAGTCAACCACATTGCTGTGGGTCTGGAGTCACATGTAGGCCAGACCAGGTAAAGATGACAGATTCCCTTCCCTAAAGGACATTAGTGAACCAGATAGGTTTTTCCCCGACAAATCGGCAACGGGTTCATGGTTATCATTAGATTTTTAATTCTAGATATTTTACTGAAGTCAAATTCCACAATCTGCCATGGTGAGATTTAGACTTTATCTGGGTTTCTGGATTAATAGTCCAGTGATGAGACCACTAAGCCATTGCCTTCCCTTTTGAATTTGAGTATTATGCCAATTTTGAATTTAATGTTCTTTATAATTTGAACTGAATTACTCAACTCCATTATGATGATCTCAGTAACTCATATTTTTCTTTTGTTTTGTTCATGCTGGCTGTACTCTGTCTCATTCTGCAAAAATGGAGCATTGTCCCTTCTGAGACATGAATGAAGTTCAAGAAACAGAAACCAAAGTCTCTCAAGTGTGTTGCTGTTGTGGTGATGAGGAAACTTGGAGTGTTGAAATGTGCTTGACCATTGCAGATAGAAGCTGAGAAGAGTTCTTGATAATTGATTTCCATGTCAAAATGTGATGTCTAGAATTTGATATCTGGATGTACAATCCTTCATTCCTTCATGTCTTTAATATATTATATTGTTATGTACAGTTCTTTGTTACTTGTTGGATAAAGAAATGAATTTAATGATGATGAGTAAAATTAGCTAGCTGAGTGCTGCACAAATCTCTCTTTACTTCTGGGACCTAGGTTTTGAATCTAGCCCTGACTGATGTAACAACAATCT